TTGAATCATGGAAGAAAACTACATTGCAATGTAAGTTTTTAATTTGTGGTGCCTTGCGCAATGGTCAGAAGGCTCATGTGTTTGTGAGGAAGGAAATAAACTATTTTTAAAGCTACTGAATTGTTTGCTCTTGTTATGTCATGTGGCGAATGACCGCAATAATTGTCATCATTGGACTCACTGTGTTTCATTTTGAGGGTGATTTGTTCGTAGTGGCGCGGATATGTCCTCGTCTTTCAAGGTGACGTGTACCCTTGTCTTCGGTATGCCGGCGTTCAGCGTGAATAAGGGAAACTACACTTAACCCCAGACGAGCGAGGAACCTAGCAAACTGACACTTGTTCTAGTCGTTCTCGGTGCTTTTGGCAGTTTCTTACCGTGAGAATTAATGTAAAGCTTCACTGGCAGTTGGGCGTGAAAACTGGTATGAAATGGCAATGGTATTTTCTCATTTTCTCTGACTCTTCCTCATACCAAAACCATATACCACTGTGTCTGACCTTTGGTAATATTTGGCCAGCACTGTAATGACTGGTGGAAAGGTGTTAGTCTTGAACAGACCTCAGGGCTCTCCTTAGGCTGCAATCGTGCTCCTGAGGAAGCTGCTGGGTAACTTATCAGCAGTCAGTTGGAACTTCCTGTTTCTCCGAAATTCACCTCCAGACGGCACAGCCATTTCTCAGTCTCCTGTCTTGCTGTAGATCAGCAGGTTGGCATTCAAAGTTATTGTTCAAAATTGGAAAGTGTGGACACCATCCATGAGTCTGTTTTGTTTTGTTTTTTTCAGTGAACAAAAGCTTTGTTATACTCACCAGAGACAGGACACATACATACATGGCTCCCTCATGGTTTTGGTTTGGCAAACACCAAAGAGAAACCCCTCCGTCTCCCTGAACTCACCCCTAATCCCTGCTCAAAGTGACAAGCGGTATTTATATTTTAATCTCAAAGACCAGTCACAAGACTCCAAATACGTCTTAGAAATTTAGGTGGTGTTACAATAACAAAGCACTCAAGCTTTGGTATTTTGAATGTGGAGAAAAGTCCCCGAGTGTAAATCACTGCATTCCTTTTCTTCACGTGCTTGAAATTTTATAGAAGATCGAATTTTCATTGTATAAACACTGACCCACGTCTCAGACGTGGTGCACTGCCCTGCCTGCTTCTTTAAGAGATGCTGCATTTGTTGGGAGAGTGTCTTGGTTTCCCTTAGACGTACCTGTAGCTGAGGGCGATTCTCTTTAGTAAATGAGAAACCTGAGGTACCAGGAAGCCAGAGGAGATAGGGCCACAGGACTGTGTTTCTTTAAAATCCTCGGCTCACTCTGTTCAGGGATAGGCAGTGACTTGAGACACTTTGAAGGAGGCCTAATTTCCATCTGAGTTGTGCTCAGTGGGTGGTGTGACTGTGACATCCTTGAATAGAACTGCAATCACCGTGTGGTGAAAACCACGTCAAATTTGTTCTGGGTTTTTCTTCTTCCTGAAGTGACAGCACAATACGTTGGCAGTGCCGTGGCTGCCGTTTCTGCAGCTGCTCCTTTTCCTCAATGCTGAGGAACTGAGAGCTGTGTAACTCCCACCCATGGGGACCAGCCTCCCCCCCTGCCCGGCCAGCGCGCTGGAGTGTCTCCCTCTGCCCTGGGTCCACCTCATGATTGCTTGGGGTTGGGGAAGAGGCCTGACTTTTGTAGCAGCTTTTTTTTTTTCTAGGAGGGGAAAAAATGTGGAGCTGACCACAGAATGAACACACTGATTCTTGGGTTCCAGTCGTGGCTGGGTTTCTTGAGGCTGGGTGGCATGCTGTCGCCAAGCTCATGCTACACCTCATAACCCACAACCATTCGCTGTGCTCCCTGGGGTCGCCTTAATCCCAAGCAGCCGGGGTTGCACAGGGGAAAATAAGAATTCTGGCACAGAAAGGAGTCATTTAAATGCTTATTGCATTTCAAGCTTCAGTTTTTACTTAGCTAAAATATTTACCATTGCTGGAAAACAATGTTTAAAATTTTGTTCTTATATGTTATTTAATGGTGTGGCCTATGTAAACCTCAGGATGCTTACATTTTGACAGTCTTCTGGAAATGTTTAACAGCACATAACTCAGTGAGCAGGGAATAAAAACCGGGAACAAATTGTGCTTGAAACTTTGTAACCTCCCCTGGCTAGGTATTCGGCAAGGCACCTTGGAATTCTTCAGGTAGAGGCAGGGAAATCTCCAGTAATGGAATTTGGTGAATCCTGTCTTGTGGCCCCATTTGTCAACCTTCTAGATAAACCCTAAGGGTCATCATGTGCTTTTTACCGCAGAAGCCATCCTTGTGGGGATGAATTTGTGTCTTTGCCACTGAGCAAAAATCCCATTTTAAATTCAGGGTAATCAAACGCTTTCAGGATGTGGATTTTCCCGAAGATTTTTAGAAGACGCGTTCCCTGGTAAGAGCAGTGAAATGTTCTTTCCACAAATGGTACTGCCCACAAAGGGGGCGTGCCTTTTGTTTTACCTTTTGGGAATAACCCAACCCTCACCAAAGGGTTCTGTTTTTGATGTTATGAGGACCACGGTGGGGGGGAGGGGGGTGTTTAATGGTTTCATTTTAAGGTCTGAGGCAGCAAAAAGCATTGCCACTTCTATCTTTTAAAACAGTGGCAGTCTTCAGCTTGAAAGCCCAGATTGGGCTCCATAAGGGTAGGGACTGTGCTTTGATGCTAGTTCCATAGCGCCTGGAACTTTTAGTAGACTCTTATTATTTGGATGGATGGATGGATGGATGGATGGATGGATGGATTTTTGAGAAATGGGTTTTTTTCCCAATGAGTAATCTCTATTATCTTCCTATTTTATAGGCCTTTTCAGTAGTGGTTTTAATGGCTGGAGTTAAAACCATAACTGAAAACAATTATAGTCTTATGTATTGTTCAGTTACTTTAGAAGTCATAAGTACTTCTTTTATTAGAGCAACTACAACTATTTATTTAAATTGGTCTTAATTAGTTGGTTACTTTGAGTCAGGAACTTTCATATAAACTATATGATATTTAAATTTCCTGGTCATGGTTAAAAATAAAGAGTTAAAAAATCATATCCTTTGAGATTATTGTTACATTAGGGTTGAGCTATATCATTAAAACAGTTTTTATCAATAAGTGTTAATTATTTAGAACTCATTCTCTGTTCTTCGTTGTCTTGACGTTTGTGTCCTTAGGAGCACGGTGGCGCGCTTCCCTTTAGAAGCTGCCGAGGACAACGGGAACTCTCTTTCGGAAGGGTTTGTTTTTAGCTAATGCATTAATTGACTCCAAAAAGTCCAAATGGAACACTCTGCTTTCATCTGCTGGGGTAACCTAATAAAATAATGTTGTTTGTTTTTAGATTCCCGGCTGTTAAGGGGGGTTTGCTCAAGGCAAAACCACAGTCCCCTCGAATAACTTTAGAAGGAGAGTTAAGAAGACACACTAATTGTGCCTGTCTGAGGTTTGCTCCTTCGAGGGCCCAGACACACCCCTTGCACACTGGTCTGGCCACCAGGGCTCCAGTGCCCACTGCTGAGTTGATTCCATTGGACAGGGCTCCTGCCCCTTTGGAAGATGCTTGATTTTGCTGTGAGCAGTTCTTAAGGGGATTTAAAAATGGACTAAGCTCTCGGAGCAGACTTGGGCAAGCACGCTGTATATGCTATCTGTCTGTCCTACAGAATGGAGAAAGGGAAACACAACTTAATGAAAGAAGACTGATTATAACATGCTCCTTACCTCCCATCACCCCCTCCCCCATCCTTTGCTACTTAGCCAAGCTCTTGCTCTGGTGTCTTATTGGGCTGCTTTCAAATGAGAAGGGGACAAGTAATCCTGTGCCCCCCCCACCCCCCGCCCCGGAGTTCTTTGGCCAGGAAGAACTCACTAAATATGAGTATTACATGCCAGGCATGCTCTCATTAAATCCTTCACACGTCCCTTGAAGTAGGTACTATTCTTTTCCCTGTGTCACAAATGAGGAAACCAAGACTCAAGAGACGTTAAGTATCTTGCTCATGGTCTCAGCTAGCAAATAAGAATGCTAAGATTTGAATCCAGGTCTGATGGCCCCCCAAGCCCTGTTCCATATGAGGATTTCTCAACAAAACTCAGTACAGGAAGTTTTTATGATGGTCTATGCCCAGAATTTCTTATTGTCCCCTGGTTCTCAGTATCAGATGTATCATTCCTAGCTTAGAGTAGAAGGGAAGGGTGATCTCAGATTATTTACCATTGTAAGTGCATTTGCTATCAGAGAATTCCACAGCCTGAGGACCTGGTGAATCCTGACAAGCCTTTTGAGGTTCATCTTAAACTATTTTACAGCCTATTAAAGTCAGTAAAGAGAGAATTAAGGTAAACTTGAAGTATTTGCCCCACCGGTTTAAAATTGGAAGGTAACGTGGAAAAAGCAGAGATAAATTTACAAACTGTTACAGTGCAATGTGATATGACGTGAACTGAATTGGACCATCTTAAAAATCTCTACTATAATTAGAAAATGACGTTCTTCAACAAAAGTTGGAAATAATGGAAAACCAACTTAAAAGTAAATATCTATGAGTACTTGGCTTCAAAGTGTGTCTGGAGGGAATGGAGACAGTTTACAGAATGTGGGATTTGCTGGGAATTACTTTTGGACATAAAATATCCATCACGCCTAATGGTGGAAAAGCCTTACTCTATTCCCAACAAGTTACCTGTTATCCCTAAAGTTAAAGGCGGATATCTACCACTGCGTTTTGCTGCCCCCTCACCCATTCTTAAATAAATGAAAGCAAATTACTGACTAACCCACACCAAAAATGTATAGCATTTTTTTTCCTGGACAAAAGGGATAAAAAATATATATATATATATATAAAAAATATACACATACACATATAAATACATATATATAAAAACAAATACATATACATGTGTGTGTATATATATGTATATGTGTATTAAAATGTCATATTCCTTTTTCAAAAGACTGATATATTTCAAAATGTGAATTTCTGTTTTGAAGCAGAATTTACCTATGTAAGTTCTAAGTATACAGATATGCTTTATCAGTTTGAGAATTTATGGAGAATTAGCCACTCCATGTAAGAGGCTGCTTTTTTTCTGATGACCTCTTCATTTGGGCCAGCTCCAGTGTTATAAAAAGCTTACACTCTGTTAGAGTAACATAAGAAATAAGAAAGATTGGGGATAGCGGAAATTGAAACAGGCATTCTTTTTTCTTCTGAAGACAGAAGTGAAGCGATTGCCCATGTTTGTTGAATTTTATTACAGTGAAAGCAGAGATTTCTCCACACTTTCGGTCTCAGCCTTTGTCCAGCCTCACTATGCAGTGTATGCATCACCTTCTGAACTAAAGAAGCAGTTCACACTTGACCTAGAACTTCAAGTTACCTGTGACCACTACTTATAAAGTAAGTGACTTCTTTCTTTTTTTAAATAGTTTGTCTGAGAGTGAAAGTAGAGAAACCATCATTTCCGTCCTTTTCTGGGACTTGAAATTAAGTGTGGCATTTTTTCCTTTTACTCCATTTAGAAAGTGTCTTGATTGGCTTAATAACTAACCCTTCTAACACCACACATATCTGGCTAAGTTATTACAAATTATAATGGCATTTGACATGAGTTGGTTATAAAGGATAACCACTATCTTTTATCAAAGCTGTCTAACAATAAATTTCAAAATAATCATTATTTTCAGGGCCCTGAAGTAATTATTAAATAAATGCTTTAACCTCTATAGACAGTAAACTCTAGTTTACTTTTTTCTACCTTAAAAATTATACCTTTGGGAGATTTCTGCTTCTGGCCATGATGGAATAGTAGGGAAAACTAGAAAACTGGGTGAAACATATGACACAGTAGTTTTAAAACGTTAAATAGGACTGAGGCAAAATAGGACTGTGAACTCTGAGGTGGGAAAGGAAACACACAAGATGAGACCTACCATTGCACCAGCTTACTGCCTGGGCGCAGGTTCCAGACACTGTGCAGAGAAGGGGAACCAAGACAGGGCCCAGCCGTCTCCCCGAATTGAAAAGCTGGAGCTCAGAAATCAGGGGGCCAAGATAGCTAGAATTTTAAGACAAACTACCAAACAGGAGGGAGCTGCTCTGAGAGCTCTGGAGTTTTGCAGAGAGTTCCCCAATCTTTGAGTACTGATCTGTGCATTTGTGGGAGGAAACGATAGCAAACTTGGGAAAGAACCACTGGAAAGGAAGAAGCAGAAAAATTCTGGAGTTCACAGAGAAGAAAGAGTTTGTGTTCCCACCAGCAGGAGTAGAAATTCCTCCATAATACATACAACATCAGGTAGAATCCACAGAAAAATGTCATATTATGAATAGCACTAAATAAGAACTATGATGAAGGCGGCTCTGCCCTTAACAAAGCTTAAAAGCAGACCTCACAAAGATCTGATTCCAAGTAATTTAACTGCTTGTCAGAACACAATTTGATACTAATTCAAACAATATAACAAAAAAAGCCCACAACCCACTATAACAAATTTACTTAAAAACTCACCTATCGTAATAAGGAAAATATAAACCATAAAAAAGTGAAAAAAATCAACCAACAGAAATGTATATCATGATGAAGATGGTGAAAACAAATGATAAATAGAAAATCTTAAAAGTTGCCAGAGGAAAACATCCCATAACCTACAAGGAAGGATGATAATAAGAGAAGATTTCTACTTGGGAACTATTTAAGACAGAAAGCCAGAGTAACATCTTTAAGGTATTTAAAAAACAAGGCCAACCAATAAATCTACACCCAGTGAAAATATCTTTTGAAAACAAAGGCAAAATAAGGTAGATAACAAGTAAGAGAATTCACCGGGCAGCTAGAATTGCACTAAAGGAGATGTTAATGATAGGTCATCAGGCAGAACCAAAGTGATATCAGGTGGAAATTTAGATCTATACAAATAAATGTAGAGTTCCAGAATTGAAAATAAATGGATAATTAACTTTTTAATTTTTAATTCCTTTAAAAGATAATTAAGTCTTTAAAGCAAAATCAATAATGATGTATTGTGAGTTTTATAGCATACATAGCAGTAAAATGTACAAAGAAGTAAAATGTAAAAAGAAGAAAGGAAAATGAAAATACACTGTCAAAAAGTTCTACTACTACTATACATGAAGTAGTATACTATTATCTGAAGGTAAAGTGTAGTAAGTAAAAGATGTATGTTATAAACCCCAGAGCACACTAGAAGATGAAAACCAAACAGATTTAGTTAATAAGACATTAGTGGAAACCTTAAAAAAAGAAAAATCCGAAAGAAGACAGGAAAAGAAGAAAAAATAAATAAAAAAACAGATGGAGTAAATAAAAAAGAGCAAGATGGTAGATTTAAACCTAACCATATTCATAATTACATTAACTGCAAATGGCCTAATCACTCCAATTAAAAGGTAGAGATCAGATTTGAGGGGGAAAAAAAAGCAAGGCCCACCTATATGCTATCTAAAGAAACTCACTTTAAATATAAAAACACAGATAGATGGGAAGTAACTTGACAGAAAAAGATATGTCATGTAATCACAGATTTCAAAAAAGCTAGAGTATGCTATGTTGATATCAGCCAAAGTATATTTTAGGAAGAGAACTAGTAGTAGGGATAAAGAAGAATATTTCATACCGATAAAGATGTCAATTTATTACAGAGACACAAAATCCTAAATGTATATGTACCTAATAACAGTGCTTCAGATACATGAAACAAAAACTAACAAAATTAAAGAATAGAAGAAACACAATTTTACTTCCAAATTTCAACACACTCCTCTTGATATAACAGGTAGAAAATCTACAGTATATAGAAAACCTGAACAAATTTATCAAATAATTGACCTTATTCATATTTATAGAACACTCCACTCAACATCAGCAGAATACACATTCTTCTTAAGTACACGATAAATTTTACCAAGATTAACTATAATCTGGGCCATAAAACAAGTTTCAATAAACTTAAGAGGATTGAAATCACACACATAACCTTCTCTGGCCATGACAGAATCAAACTGGAAAGGAATAACTAAAAGATACTTGGAGGGGCTTCCCTGGTGGCGCAGTAGTTAAGAATCCACTTGCCAATGCAGGGGACACGGATTTGATCCCTGGTCCGGGAAGATCCCACATGTCGCGGAGCAACTAAGCCTGTGCGCCACAACTACTGAGCCTGTGCTCTAGAGCCCACGAGCCACAACTACTGAAGCCCGCATGCCTAGAGCCTGTGCTCTGCAACAAGAGAAGCCACCGCAATGAGAAGCCTGTGCACCACAACGAAGAGTAGCCCCCGTTTGCTGCAACTAGAGAAGAGCCCGCGCACAGCAACAAAGACTCATCGCAGCCCAAAATAAAAATTAATTAATTAAAAAAAAAGATACTTGGAAATTCCCCATATATCTGAAAAATATATAGGTCCAAACAACACTTGAGTCTACGAAGAAATCACGAGGATAATTAGGAAATATTTTAAACTAAATGAAAAGAATATAACATATCAAAAATTTTACAATGAAAAAAATATTTTACAATGCATTTAAAACAGTGCTTAGAGGGAAATATATACTATTAAGTGCTTACATTAGAAAAGATGAGAGGTCTCAAACAATTATCTCATTTTCCACCTTAAAGCAAGAAAAAGAAGAGCAAATTAAACCCCAAAGATGCAGAAGATAATAAAAAGCAGAAATCAATGAGATAGAAGACAGGAAAACAATAGAAAAAAACAGTAAGATGAAAATGTTTCTTTAAAAAAATCCCCAAATTTAGAAACCACTAATAAGACTGATCAGAAAAAGACAAAAACAAAATAACAACAACAAAAATAACAACTAATGTGATTAAAAGGGAATGCTATGAACAAATTTATGCCAATAAATTAAACTACATAGATGAAACAGATTTCTTGAAAGATATATACTAGCAAAGTCACTGAAAAAGAGATACTGTTACTAACTCTATTTCAATAATCAAATTCTTAGTTAAAAACTCTTGTCCCAAAGAAAAATCCAAGCCTAGATGCACATAAAAGGGACAATCCCTTATGACCAAATAGGGTTCATCACCAGAATATAAGTTAGGTATAACACTAAAAAAATATATACTATACTGATTAAAAAGAAAAATCATGATTTAAATTAGATTCAGAAAAAGAATTTGGAAAAATTCAACACCCATTTAAAAAAAAAAAACTCACAAGCCAGAAATAAAAAGAAATGTAATCTGATAAAGGGCATCTACAAAAAAAAAAGCTATAGCTAATATGATACTTTACGTGAATGATTCAATGCCCTAGGCAGTGCAACATGATAAGAAATAAATAAATAAATACACTGGGGAAAAAGAAGTAGAACAGTATTCAACTGCATATGAAGAGAATTTTAAGAAATCTACATAACATTAATTAGAAGTAGTAAATGAATTTAGCAACACCACAAGATACAAAGTCAGTATATAAAAATCCACTGTATTTCTATATAGTACCAACAGTATCTGAAAATAACATTTTAAATATTTAAAAAATGGGGAAATAATAGTCTTTTCTACAAATGTTGCTGGAAAATTAACTATGCATATGATAAAAATTAACCTTAGCCCACAACCACACCATACACAAAATTAATTAAAGATGCATCATACACATAAATATGAGTTTAAACTATAAATATTTCATAAGAAAACATAAGAGAAAATCTTTATCTTATCTGTCAAAAAGTTCTATTTTTGCCTTGGATTAGGCAAAAATATTTTAGATGAGTCAAGATTTTAGAAAACATTCTTAATGAAGAAAGCACTGTCAAATTGGAATTCTATATCCAAAAAAAAAAAACCTTCATAAATAAAGGCAAAATAAAGACATATTTAGACACACAAAAACTGAAATTATTCTCTTGCAGAATCTTACTACTGGATATGCCAAAAGAATTTCATTGGTTGAAGAGAGATAACATGAAATGGAAAGCCCAGATCTCCAGAAAGAAATGAAGAGAACCAGAAAAGAAAAATGTGAAAGTAAGTAGTTTTTAAAACCTTTTAGAATTATCTTTATTTTATAAATACTTTTAATTCATAAAACACTATTCACTGAAGCAAAAATAATAGTGTATTGTGGGATTTATAGAAAATACAGAAGTAAAATACATGACAACACAGGAACAAAGGACAGAGAGAAGGTAAATGTATTATTCTGTTACATCATTTGAAGGTAGTCTGTTAGTAGTTAAACATGCATACTGCATTCTTGTGAAACCACTAAAAAGAATAAAGGTCAATAGATGAACTGTAATGCAATACTAAGAATTACTTGGACCATCAAAAAGAAGGCAGAGGGGAAGAATAGAAGAACAAAGAATGAATGGGATCAATAAAAAACATTTACTAAAAAAAATAAATAATAAAAAACAATTACTAATACAAAATAAAAAACCATGCCAAAAATTACATTAATTGTACATGGACTAAATCCTCCAATTAAAAGGCAGAGACTATTAGACTGTATTTAAAAAATAAAAAGAAAGAAGGACCCAACTTTAAGCTGTTTACAAGAAACGCACTTCAAATATATAGACTTAAAAAGATTAAAAATAAAAGGGTGGGAATGACATCAGCCAAAATGGCAAACTAAAAAACTCCAAATTCTGCCCTTCCATAAAAGCAATAAAAAACGGGCTGAAAGTCAAAATCAACTCTTGTTCTTGAACTCTGGAAATTAACCAAAGACTTGCATCAACTAAGGGAACACTGACTGAAGAACAACCCGGATTCTCTGAAAGAATCATGAACTTTGTGTCATTTTAACTTACTCTAGTCCCATCCCCCCTCTGTAGTCCAGCAACAGCTCTGAAAAATAACAGCTCACATTCCCAGTACGACAGGAAGCAGAAAGTACTTCATTCACAAAGGATTCTAATTATTTGTTCTGACCTGTCTGGTTCCTCCCTGGTAGACAAAATACATGTCTTTATTGCACCTAACTTGGAACTGGTGTAGTACTAAGGCTGCTTCCTGATGTGGGGGTATTTGTCCAAAACATTCACAGGCTGATATCCTAGTTGCTGCTGGCTGAGGTAATAAATAACAGTTAAGACAATCAATAGACTAACAAAAAACTTGAGAGGACAGGCTAGGGAATGAGATCTTTGAGGGCTATGAATAGCTCTGACATACCCCTGGGAATGTGGACAAACACACACACACACACATACTCAGAACTGTGCACGTGCTCAGGAAAGTCCTAAGAAGGCCCTAAGATCTCACCTCCTGTTGACATTGAGGCTCTGTAGAAACCGGAAGTGAAGGCCAATGCAGAGTTGTAAACTGCCTGGCTGATAGGTGACGATGCACCTCAACAGAGAGACATACAGAGTCCTTTGCCATAGACTAGAAGAGTTTTTTGGCTCCAGGCATGTAAGGAGCCAATCATTAGCTAAACATTAAATTAACAGAGACTTCAGAGGCTGCACATACACAGAATACAGACTGCACAGAATTAGTTCAGAAAATTTGGTAAATAAACAACAATTACAATAAGCAGCAACAACAAATCCTGTGGAGGGAAAAAATCTGATTTCCAGAGTTGCACATTACAGTATTATAATTACTGGATATATTACAATATTAAGTTTTCAACAACAAAAAAGTACACATGCAAAAAAATAACAAAGTATGGCATATACAATGGAAAAAAGTCAATAGAAACTGCCTGAGAAAGCCCAGATATTGGATTTTTCTAGACAAAGACTTTAAATCAGCTATTATAAATATACTCAATGAATTAAAGGAAACCATGTCTAAAGAATGAAAGGAGGGGACTTCCCTGGTCGTCCAGTGGTTAAGAATCCTCTTTCCAATGCAGGGGACGCGGGTTCGATCCGTGGTTGGGGAACTAAGATCCCACATGCTGCGGGGCAACTAAGCCTACATGCCGCAACTACTGAGCCCGCATGCTCTGGAGCCTGTGCGCCACAACTAGAGAGAAGCCCGTGCACCACAACGAAAGATCTCGCATGCCGCAGTGAAGATCCCATGTGCCACAACTAAGACCCGATGCCAAATAAATAAATATTTAAAAAATAATGATAATAATTAATTAAAAATTTTTAAAAAAAGAACAAAGGAAAGTATGAAAATGATGTCTCACAAAATAGAAAATATCAATAGATAGATACTATAAAAAGAAGCCATGTAGACATTTTGGAGTCAAAAAGCACAGTAAATGAAATGAAAATTTCAATAGGGAGCTCAATAGCAGATTTGAATAGGCAGAGGAAAACATGAAGAATCAATTGAAAGTATGCAGTCCAAAAAACAAAAAGAAAAAAGATAGAAAATTTAAGAGACCTGTGGGACACCATCATGCATGCCAACATACACACAATGGAAGTTCTAGAAGGAGGAGACAGAGAAAGAGTAAAAAGAATGCTTGAAGAAATAATGGCTAAAATTTTCCCAAATTTGATGAAAAACATTAATTTATCCATTCAAGAAATTCCATGAAATCCAAGTAGGAAAAACTCAGAGATCCACACCTAAACACATCATAATCAAACTGTCAAAATCCAAAGCTGATGAAGGAATCTTAAAAGTTACAAGAAAGGGCTTCCCTGGTGGCGCAGTGGTTGAGAGTCCGCCTGCCAATGCAGGGGACACGGGTTCGTGCCCCGAGAAGATCCCACATGCCATGGAGTGGCTGGGCCCGTGAGCCATGGCCGCTGAGCCTGCGCGTCCGGAGCCTGTGCTCCGCAACGAGAGAGGCCACAACAGTGAGAGGCCCGTGTACCACAAAAAAAAAAAAAAAAAAAAAAAGTTACAAGAAAGAAGCAACTCACTTTATCTGGAAACATAGAGACCAAAAGGCAGTGGGATGAGATACTCAAACTGCTGAGGAAAAAAAAAAAATTGTCAATGAAAAATTCAACTTCTGACAAGATTATTCTTCAGAGATAAAGGAGAAATTAAGACTTTCCCAGATAAGTAAAAGCTGAAAGTTTATCCTAGCAGACCTCCCCTACAACAAATGCTAAAGGGTGCCCTTCGGGCTGAAATGAAACACTAGAGGGAAATTTCATAATAATAAAAGGGTCAGTTTATTAAGAAGATATAATAAACTTAATATGTATGTACCTAGTAACAGCTTCAAAATGCAAAAATAAAAATGGAGAGAACTAAAGAACAAGTAGGCAAATTCAAAACCATAAGTGGATATTTTAATATCTCCTTCTTGGTCACTTGTAGAATACATAGAAAACAGTAAGATTATAGAAGATTGAAAACAATACTCTCAGCCAGTTTAATCTATTTGACATTTTTAGAACCACATACCCAACATACAAAGAATGCACATTTTTTCAGGTGTACATGGAACATTGCCTAAGTTAGACCATATCCTGGCCCCTAATGGCACGTGCTAATTCTTGTAACTCTTTTGGTGTCTAGTCTCTTTACTCCTTAATAGGTCACATGTCCCCAGCCAGGTTATGCTGGGAGAGCCATCAGAGAGTGGTGTCAATCTGACCTGAAGAAGGTGAGAGGGAAAGAAGGGAGGGAGGAAAGGAAAGGAGGGAAGGGAAAGCAAAGATTAGTCTTAGACTGAAGTACAGTTCCGAGAAAGTTTTAGCAATGCTGGCAGGGAGTCCTTGAGAACTCCTTTGAGTTCTCCTCGGAGAACTCTTACATCTCCCAGGAACAGGCCTGCCTTACTATCCCTGGTATGCTCAGGCTTGGCTGACAAGCATGACATTGGTCAAACATGCTGGTGGATTTTAGAGCAAAGCAGCTGGAGCTGTCAGTCAATTATGTTCTTTGCAACGAGATCTTAGAGGCAAATTGTCATGGCTACCACATTCCATCTGGGACATCAGCTGGGAGAACCTGAATGGCTGTGGGCTGCCTGGGTATCTTTCTCTATATTCACATGGCCACTCTGTGATGAGCTTAGGCCTTTGTACAGCCTAGAGGTCTTAGGGTAGTTGCCCTTCTTACACAATGGCTTGGGGAATTAAGAGTGAGTGTGCCAAGAGACCCAGAAGGAAGCTATGTCTCCATATAACCTTGTCCTGAACCCCACATAGTATCACTTCCCACATATTCTATCATTACACAAGGTCATCCCAGGTTCATGATGGGGAAACACCACACAAGAAGTGGGAGACTGTCTTGGAGACTAGCTACCATGGTGGGATATACCCATACACAAGCTCTTATAATTCTTCATGTACCTATTACAAGTGACTGGCCTTAGCACTTTTCATAGTCCTCACTCACGGAATCATTCAGACTTTGGTCTATAACAGCTCATGGCTTATTGATTTGTTCTAAGGTTCTTTAGCATATGTTTGAGAAAATTTTTTCCCCAGTACTTTTCATTGGATTGCTTTTTAAAAAAATTTTACTAGAGTATAGTTGATTTACAATGTTGTATTAGTTTCTGCTGTACAGCAAAGTGATTCAGTTATACATATACATATATTCATTCTTTTTTAGATTCTTTTCTCATATACGTTATCCCAGAATATTGAGTAGAGCTCCCTGTGCTGTACATTAGGTCCTTGTTGGTTATCTATTCTTATATGTAGTAGTGTGTGTCTGTTCATCCCATGCTCCTGATTTATCCCTTCCCCACCACGTTTCCCCTTTAATAACCATAAGTCTGTTTCTGTTTTGTAAATAAATTCATTTGTATTATTTTAAAAAAAATTAGATTCCACATATGAGAGATACAATATGATATTTGTCTTTCTCTGACTTACTTCACTTAATATGATAATCTCTAGGTCCATCCATGTTGCTGCAAATGGCATTATTTCATTCTTTTTTGTGGCTGAGTAATATTCCATTGTATATATGTACCATATCTTCTTTATCCATTCCTCTGTGAATGGACATTTAGGTTGCTTCCATGTCTTGGCTATTGTAAATAGTGCTGCAATGAACATTGAGGTGCATCTACCTTTTGGGATTATGGTTTTCTCTGGAGATATGCCCAGGAGGGGATTGCAGGATGATATGGTAGC